TATCACATATATTGGCAGCAGTTGAAATAGACTTCGATGATATCTTGATGTTTGTCCTATCAGCTGAATCTGTTATGATTGCAGGTGATACTTTAAAATTTAATTTTTTCATGATTTGTTTTCTTTTTAGCTGTGAAGCAGTGGCTGTTAGGGCCATCATTAGCACATCCAAACAAATTGACCGCAATTCTCCAATATTCTTAAACTGGATTCTAAAGGCCTCTTCACCATGATGACTTTCTCCCCTGTAAAAATAAAATTATACATTTATTATTTCTTTTGATTATAAAAGAACAATATTGTAACCTCACTCAAAGGGCAAAAATCATTTTAGAAATCATTTGGGTCTGCATCTTCCCATGGTGCAGACATGTACATGTAGGTCGTTTCTATTCAATATCAGAAATGGTTTAAACTCTGCTAATTGATTTATGGCTTGCCTGATGTGTAAATATTTCTTTTCCATTTAAATGCAAATATTCCGTGAACATTAAGCATTTAAAATTAATATTTTCTGTGTCGAATTTATGAAGCAACATCATGTTATATATCATTTAACAGGTGTTGTAAAAATTCTACCGGTAGGCCTTGAAACTTCAAGTTGACACCCAAATAAATGTGTAGGTCATATAATATATATATAGTTTTTAAAGTATGCCTAAACCCAGGATAAAAAATACAATTGTCAATTTGGTAAAAAAAACACAAAAAAAACCTTGGCCTTGGGATAAATTTGGTAAAAATAATCTTACCATTGTAATACTGTATGCGCTTCATCTACTACAATTAATTTCAGTCTTGACAGGAATTTCTGACTAGCAAAAACATCTCTCCACTTCATATTACCAACAGCATTTTCCGGGCTCAAATACAAAATCATGGTTTCCATTTTTATACACCCACATTTAAATGTGGTCGTATATTGTCGTCACCCCCGTCCGTCCGTCCGTCTGGCGGTCCGGCGGTCCGGCGGCCACAAGCTAAAGTTAATATCCGATTGACTTTAAATTTATACACAGTGTTTAAGGTCATGAGACGAAGAAGCCTATTGATTTTCAGCGATTTCCAATAATTACTGCCAGAGTTATGGCCCTTGATCACTTAAAAAAATCTTGTGGACACTCTAGAGGCCAAAGTTAATATCCGATTGATCTTAAATTTATACACAGTGTTTAAGGTCATGAGACGAAGAGGCCTATTGATTTTCAGCGATTTCCGATAATTACTACCAGAGTTATGGCCCTTGATCACTTCAAAAAATCTTGTGGACGCTCTAGAGGCGAAAGTTAATATCCGATTGATCTTAAATTTATACACAGTGTTTAAGGTCATGAGACGAAGAAGCCTATTGATTTTCAGCGATTTCCGATAATTACTACCAGAGTTATGGCCCTTGATCACTTCAAAAAATCTTGTGGACGCTCTAAAGGCTAAAGTTATCATCCGATTGACTTCAGATTGATACACAGAGTTTAAGATCTTGAGAGGAACAAGTATATTGATTTTCAATGAATTTTTATGACTTGGAACAGCTAAATCCATGATACAGTATTAAAAGTTTTGTATACAAAACGTTAGCATGGGGCAGAACTTTATAAAAACCAAACAAATTCTAATGGTTTTCTGAGTTGTTGCTCTTAATCAGATTTTAGTGTATTATAAATGTTTCATTACCGAAAAAAGTAAAAATATGCGACAACTCTTGTTGACTGCCCGGACGATTTAGCTGCTGTGGGCGTATGTTTCGTTGCCTGACAACCTATCTTCAATCATGTCAAAAGTAATATTTTCTCCATCTGCTCTGCCGATAATTGCTGCGTTGAAACCACTAGCTACTAATTTGTCACATTGTTCCGTCATAATAGACGTGAGGGGAGCGATAATCAAAACACAACAGTTCTCTAAACCAACGGGGCGCATTCATATGACAATGACTTGCCACTACCAGTCTTCGTACATACAAATATATCTTTCTTTTCCACCAGCGCCTTAATTGACTCCTTTTGGTTTACTGTCAAACTAGAAACATTAAAATAACCTTCGATTTTCCTGATAAGCGACAACAAGTTTTCTTCGACGGCCATTTTGAACATAATGGACGTTAAAAAGAGACACGCCCCCTCAAAAGTTCAAGAATATGATTTCAATCCAGCAATGGCCAGAGAGGGATTTCTCGGGCCATTGCTTCAGGAATATGATGTCACGTGACTTACCTCTCTTTATTACAAATATCGAATCCTAATTAAATTCACGGATTATCCAGTACCCGCGGTTTTTTTATCTCAGAGAGTGTTGTACGTCTAACTCATTATAAAGTTGATCAACTTGTTCATCAAGCGCTCAATGTTCGCGTGTGACCTTTGACATCACGCGTGCATAAATTCCTAATCATCGGGCTGTTGATTAGGGGAACCCTTACATTTTTGTCCTGTATACGCTCCATGAGGGTTTTTCGGGGGAGTCCAGTATTTTTCTAGTAAGATTGGATATCTCTACTTTCCATATATACCAAAATTACCATACTTTTATTGGAAATAACCACCCGATAAATACTTTTCTGGGAACCCATCTTTAAATATATTTTTTTGTGTGTTCGTCTGACCGGAACGTAGATCTACGGAATTCTGGTATTTCAAAATGGCGCCATATTATTTATATCCCATAATTGTGCTAGTAGAAGTGATGCTATTATTTAGAGTTAAAGGAGCTAAATCGCTAATATTTGGGACCTAGAATTTGACCCAAATGGGTCGCAACGCATATAATAATGTAATCTGATTGTATATAAACTGATTTACATCCAATGTTTCCGTTTTGACTCTTAATTTCAAATCAGTTATGTCCAGCGAAATAAGGCATGTGTCTCAACCCTATAGAAATTTCTAGCGTCTGGTTATTCCAGTCAATTGAACAGGCTCTCCATTTGAATATGTCTAGCCTCGTTCTTTCTAGTCACTTGTTGCAAATGACGCTAAAATGCACTATGGTACACGAATCGTGTACCAATGGTAAAATGTTTATTTTGTCTTAAATATTGGATATCAGAAGCCTGCCTTTTCCTGGTAAGATCACAACAATAATTTTGATCTGAATTGATAAATAATTCTTATTTTCAATGTGTAAGACTTTGGATGATATTGGGTTAGAGACTTAGCTACTTTAAATAAAGAAATAAAGCTATTTTGTTGACATTTTATAATGAAGAAAACGATGTTCTGACATCACAAACTATTCTTATTTCGAAAGGTTTGCATTCATTTGCTGCCGTATAAATGAAGACACATAATTTTGAAGGAATATTACGGTTGTGAATTTGATGCCGAAGCAGGATCAGCAGAAATGAAATGAAATGAAATGGGGTTTAACGTCCTACTGTTCTTCTCCTATACTGGGCTAATGAAGACGGGCATTCGCTATACAGTGTGTCATGAGGGAAATTTTGCCCGGGCAGCGGCACTATCACCTACTCTTATATCGAATTCCAACTGCCAAGGGATCTTTTACATGCATTCCAATGTATACACAGGACCTCGGTTTTTCATCTCATCCGAAGGACTAGACAGCTGTCCTTGTCAGGCCCTCTGTTCTGCACCACTGACAAGGGGAAACCACGTCGGAAAATCCAGATGAACTTTCTCGGCCAATGCAGGGATCGAATACCCGACCTCCAGGCTAGCGAGCCAGCGTCTTAACCAACTAGCCACCGTGGCTCCAGGATCAGCAAGCTTTCATTCAATGCATTACGAAAATGCTTAATTTTGTAGGAATGTTACTGACATAAATTTGAATACCGTATGGGAATTAAATATGAAAAATAGCGAGATTCAACTATTTTTATTATGTACAGGACTTCAAAATTTTGTTGACATGTGATTTTTAAATGTGGTATGAATTTCGTCTGCTTAAATAACGATAAGAGTAATGCCCCTTTATTTTCGGTAAAATGTCTGAGAAGAAAAAATTTTGAAATCCCTTCACTGGTATACTGACAGTGTTTGTTGTAATTATATAAGTTTGCGAAGGGATTTGAAAAGGCTATGGGTGAATATCTTTCAGTTATTGGATGACTTGTAGGGATTATTGTTAACATTTGAATGGTTATACTTCCATCACTATATATGCTCATTAAAGATTTTCAAATAAGGTGAAGTTAACTTAATGTTAGGTTTACATTGAAATGAAATAAGGTTTTTAACTGCTAATGAAGACAGATATACGCCATGCAGTGTGCTATGAGGAAAATTTCAAATTCCAACTATTAAAGATTGTGTTCCCAGAAAAGTATTTATCGTGTGGTTATTTCCAATAAAAGTATGGTAATTTTGGTATATATGGAAAGTAGAGATATCCCATCTTACTAGAAAAATACTGGATTCCCCGCAAAACAATCATGGAGCGTATACAGGACAAAAATGTAAGGGTTCCCCTAATCAACAGCCCGACGATTAGGAATTTCTGCACATGTGATGTCAAAGGTCACACGCGAACACTGAGCGCTTGATGTACAAGTTGATAAACTTTATGAAGAGTTAGACGTACAACACTTTCTGAGATAAAAATGACGGAAAAAGATGCGGGTAGTGTATAATCTGAGAATTTAATTAGGATTCGATATTTGTAATAAATAGTAAGCGATTAAAGACAACATTGTCTTGTGTATGTAATGAATTCTCCTCTGACTTCCAAGAGAGGTAAGTCACGTGACATAAACATGACCTGGTTTGATCGAATTTTTATAGCAGGACATTCCTTCGCAAGGAAAGTTATGACAAATTAATTAGTTTGAATATATTTTTAGTCCATATATACCATTAAATCACCCAGTTTGTACACGGGAACCCATCTTTAATAAATAATGGAAGCGATGTAGATAGATAACAACAATAAATGAACCTATAAAAAAATTTGTAAGGTCAATAGAAATCATACAATATATAGCGATCTATGTACCCTTCCACATAACACAACAAATAATGACTTCTTATTCTTTTCTTCATTAGGGTGATGTTGTAAGAGTACTGAAATCACAGAAGGCAGAAAAGAGTAAAATTGATGTGGAGGTGGCTAAATTGATAGATTTAAAGAAGAGATTGTCATTAGCTCAAGGTATTGATCCTACTACAGCTAATAAAAAGAAAGGCAAAAAGAAGTAAAAAATACAAGACTAATCTTAATATATCCAATATTTATGTTTAAAAATAATTTCAAAATGCAATTTTTTTAAGGTCACTTGTTTCAAAGGTATTAAGAACGAGTTCGCCAGAGAATCATGCAAAATTTAGAAAAACCGTCACAAGCGGTGTCGGGTGATTTTGACCAAACTTTGCAGATTTGGTCATTGGGTACCCCGTATACCCCACATGAAATATGAGGGTTACCAACCTTGTAATTATGGAGAACCAGCTATAGTCATTTAAGAGTAAAAAAAACGTCATTTTTTAAAAAAAAAATTCCCTAAATTCAAATGTTTCCCATAAATTGCCTATTGATTTTTTATTTTTTTTAATTATTGTCCCCCGCCTTTCGAAGAAAGCAGGGGACTATTAAAATGGGTTCGTCCGTCTGTCTGTCTGTCTGTCTGTCCGTCACAGTTTTTGGGACACAATAACTCTCCTTCTAATTGACCTAGAATGTTCAAACTTGGTGTAGGTGTTTATTAGGTCAATGCCTTGATGGAGTTCGAAGATGAGCATTTTCGGCTTAGGGTAAGCCGAGATAAGCAATTTGATTGGTTGATGCTATGGGACACGATAACTTTAGTTCTAATTACGTGAGAGTGATGAAACTTGGTGTATAGTTTCATTACATCAATACCTTGACTAAGTTCGACAATGAGCATTTTCTGCTCAGAGTAAGCAGAGCGATAAGCAATTTGATTGGACGAGACTTTGGAACACAATAACTCTCCTTCTATTTGAGCTAGAATGTTCAAACTTGGTGTAGGTGTTTATTAGGTCAATGCCTTGATGGGGTGTGAAGATGAGCATTTTCTGCTTAGGGTAAGCAGAGATAAGCAATTTGATTGGTTGATACTTTGGGACACGATAACTTTAGTTCTAATTAAGTGAGAGTGATGAAACTTGGTGTATAGTTTCATTACATCAATACCCTGACTAAGTTCGATGATGAGAATTTTCAGCTTAGGCTAAGGAGCAATAAGCATTTTGATTGGTTAAGACTTTGGAACATAACAACTCTTCTTCTAATTGAGGTAGAATGTTAAAACTTGATGTAGATGTTCATCTTGACTTAGTTCAATGATTAACATATCGAGCTAAAGCTAAGAAGAGATAAGCAATTTCCATGGTCGATGCTTTGGAACAAGATAACTTTGATTCTATCTGATAGAGAGTGATGAAACTTAGTGTATAGTTTATAATCAGTTGATTGCTGGATACTTTGAAAAAAAATAGATGTGCGATTAATTAATATGTGTCATCTATTTATTTGGGGATTTCGGCGGGGGACATCAGCCTCACTGTTGGCTTGTTTTTTTATGAATGATCTTGTCTACTACTTCAATATATATGACTTTTAAATTTTTCCAAAACCATTTGAGGCTATGAGTCATGCGGAATTTATTTTGAGACGTAGCTTTTGCTATATGCTAAAACATATAAATTTCATGATGCTATATCTCACCCACTGCGGGGCTGAGGACAATTCTATTAATAATGAAAGTTGAGGACTACTAATACTAATATTTGGTTTTGAAAAAATGACTGGCATTGATTTCTTTCATATTAAATTTAATGGTCCAACTTGAAGAAAATGACTTCATTTTTTACTTCATTTTTCCAATAAAATCATTCATTGCCTGGATTATTAGGCCAGATAATGCCCCAAGCAACCGACTTCCAGCAACCCTGTGTTGGGCCGTAGCTTTTGCTATATGCTAAAACATATAAATTTCATGATGCTATATCTCACCCACTGCGGGGCTGAGGACAATTCTATTAATAATGAAAGTTGAGGACTACTAATACTAATATTTGGTTTTGAAAAAATGACTGGCATGGATTTCTTTCATATTAAATTTAATGGTCGAACTTGAAGAAAATGACTTCATTTTTTACTTCATTTTTCCAATAAAATCATTCATTGCCTGGATTATTAGGCCAGATAATGCCCCAAGCAACCGACTTCCAGCAACCCTGTGTTGGGCCGTTCAACATGATTCAGGAGTTCCACAAGGATCAGTTCTTGGACCTGTCTTTTCTGTAATGTATACTAAGAATTTAGGACAACTATGCAGATGTTACACAGCCGATCGCAAATTTTTCCCTTTCAAAAACTGTTCCATCCCCTAATTGTACACATGACATTAAAGCATAGAACTAGAATACTAGTTCTAAGATTAAAGATAGGATGACAAGAAATATGTTGAAATTAAATTTAATTGAATTAATTAAATCAAAATGTATTTTATGTGGTCCAAATACACATCTGCAAAAATACAAGTTCAAGTGATATGGTTGTACGAGATGCAATATTTGTACCACGAGACACTGAAGAAGTTAGGTGTCAAATTAAGTGAAATTTGTCGAAACTGTAATCTTCGATCCAGGAACATTGGCCATATAAGACACTTTATTAGCCAGGAAGCAGCTGCTACACTTTTATGTTCTTTGGTATTCTCAAGGATTGACTACTGTAACAGCCTGTTTGTAGAAACATCTAGTGCCAATATTAAAAATACCGCAGCTCGAATTCTTACCAGATCATCAAAATACTCTCATATTACTCCTGTTCTGAAATCACTCCATTGGCTGCCAATTCATGAAAGAATCATCTTCAAAAGTCTGTCTTAGACGTATCAGTGTGTGAATGGCTTAGCTCAAATATACTTATCTAACCTTATGCAAATACAAGTTCCCTCGCGTAACCTCCGGCCGAACACACCTTCATCAGTTGTGTTGCTCAAGGGGCAAATTAAAATCATTTGGATATGGATCGTGCTCGTTGAATGCGCCTAAACTGCGGAACAATCTTCCAGAGATCATTAAATCATCATTAAACCCTTTCTTGTTTTACATCAAGACTTAAAACTCATCTTGTTATCAGGATTAATTAAATGAATTTAATTGTATGCGCAGTGGACATGCCTCTTTACATAGAGTATGTGCGCTATATAAATCAGCTGTTCATTTCCCCATCTTTTGCACAAATAAAATGCGGTTTAGTAGCCAGTTATCCGAAAGAAACTACAATAGCATATTCCTGAAGCAATAGCCTGAGAAATACCGTCTGGCCATTGCTGGATTGACTTCTAATACTTATATTTTTAGGGGGAGTGTGTCTATTCTTCCCGTTGAATCAAATCGCTCCTAAGTACAGTCTCGTTTAATCTGGGGTCTTCCTTAAAACTTTGGACAGTGATTTAAGGTATTAAAAATGGTGGAAGTATTGTTCATGTCCAAACAGTATTGTTTACATTGTAACCGTTTTGATAGCCTCATTTGTCACGCAATTAGTTTTTCTGCAATATTCTGCTATGCACTGGTTAATTGGGCGTAATAAATTTTGGTTAATCATGACGTAACGTTATGTAAACATATTTGGAGCTCTGTTTAAACTCGAAAGATATTGTTATGCACTTGCTAATCGGACTATTGACCAGTCATAATTTGGAACCGAAATTTGCTTTCATTACGGCAGTGTTGAGTGGGATTAGGTCTAATCAAGCGAAAAACTGCGGGGAGTATGCTACAATAGTGACCTTAAGCTCATATACTATTTGTTTTTGTCTTTTTGAAATATCGCTTGATTCGTTTGTCAAGTATAGACAGATGTACATGACTACTACACTATTTAGTTTTTAAACTCCCACATTGAAATGTGGTCGTATATTGTCATTGCCCCCATCCGTCCGTCCGTTCGTCTGTCCGGCGTCCACAATTGCTTGTGGACGCTCTAGAGGCTAAAGTTAATATCCGATTGACTTTAAATACACAGTGTTTAAGGTCATGAGACGAAGAAGCCTATTGATTTTCAGCGATTTCCGATAATTAATGCCAGAGTTAAGGCCCTTGATCACTTCAAAATATCTTGTGGACGCTCTAGAGGCCAAAGTTAATATCCGATTGACTATAAATTTTACATAGTGTTTAAGGTCATGAGACAAAGAAGCCTATTGATTTTCAGCAATTTCCGATAATTACTGCCAGAGTTATGGCTCTTGATCACTACAAAAAATCTTGTGGACGCTCTAGAGGCCAAAGTTAATATCCTATTGACTTTAAATTTATACACAGTGTTTAAGGCCATGAGACGAGGAAACCTATTGATTTTCTGCGGTTTCCGACAATTACTGCCAGAGTTATGGCCCTTTATCACTTCAAAAAATTTTGTGGACGCTCTAGAGGCCAAAGTTAATATCCAATTGACTTCAAATTTATACACAGTGTTAAAGGTCATGAGACGAGTAAGCCTATTGATCTTCAGCAGTTTCCGACAATTACTGCCAGAGTTATGGCTCTTGATCACTACAAAAAATCTTGTGGACGCTCTAGAGGCCAAAGTTAATATCCGATTTACTTTAAATTTATACACAGTGTTTAAGGTCATGAGCGAAGAAACCTATTGATTTTCAGCGATTTCTGATAATTACTGCCAGAGTTATGTCCCTTTATCACTTCAAAAAAACTTGTGGACGCTCTAGAGGCCAAAGTTAATATCCGATTGACTTAAAATTTATACACTGTGTTTAAGGTCATGAGACGAAGAAGTCTATTGATTTTCAGCGATTTCTGATAATTACTGCCAGAGTTATGGCCCTTGATCACTTCAAAAAATCTTGTGGACGCTCTAGAGGCCAAATTTAATATCCGATTGACTTTAAATGTATACACTGTGTTTAAGGTCATGAGACGAAGAATTCTATTGATTTTCAGCGATTTCTGATAATTACTGCCAGAGTTATGGCCCTTGATCACTTCAAAAAATCTTGTGGACGCTCTAGAGGCCAAAGTTAATATCCGATTGACTTTAAATTTATACACTGTGTTTAAGGTTATGAGACAAAGAAGCCTATTGATTTTCAGTGATTTCCGATAATTACTGCCAGAGTCATGGTACTTGATCACTTCAAAATATCTTGTGGATGCTCTAGAGGACAAAGTTAATATACGATTGACTTAAAATTTATACAGTGTTTAAGGTCTTGAGACAAACAAGTATATTGATTTTCAATGAATTTTGATAACTTTAACAGCTAAATCCATGATATTAAATGTTTCTTATACTAAATGTTAGCTTGGGGCAGAACTTTATAAAAACCAAACAAATTCTAATGATTTTCTGATAGTTACTTCATGAGTTGTTACTCTTAATCAGATTTTAGTTTATTATAAATTTTTCATCACCGAAAGAAAGTAAAAATATGCGACAACTCTTGTTGGCTGCCCAGACGATTTAGCTCCTGTGGGCGTATGTTTCGTTGCCTGGCAACTTATCTTTACGATTTGCTGTTCAAAAATTCATCATCCTTCTACTAGATCATGAGATTATATTGCCGAATTAATAAAATGTTGAAAAATAGTCTAGGGAGGTTAATTGTATTTACCAAGAACAGCTCTTTTGGCATTTACAGTATATTAAGCTTTTCAAAATTTTAACGGTGTAATTGTGAGCTCAGTTTTCATGATTAGATACTTATTAGACAGATAAACAGATAGAAAGATAGATAGATAGATGATTAGTTAGATAGTAGATATTTTTTAATTTGAAATACTTATTGGTAAGTATTTGTAGTTTTGATAATGGAACATTTTTTAAACGTGAATTATTTGATGAAAGTATATAGTGTGTTTATATTTACTTGTTTATTTCTATTTCTATTATGGCTTGCTGTTAATTGAACCGGAACCCACGTTAATTTGGTTTCCAGTGCCATGTTACACTTTTCAGTGTGTAAAAAATGCGGTTTATGTTTCGTCATTTTTGTTGAAAATCTTTATTTTTGGACAAAAATGGAAATTATTTACCCCTAAACGGGTCGAGTGCCACCCAATTTTTTTATTGATCTTAATACTATAGATCATTGCCTTTTCAGTCAGCATTCCAAAAAAATACTTAAACCCGCAGTGGGTGAGATATAGATAGAATAAAATGACATACCTAAATTGAGCTATTTTGGTACCTTGCAGCACTAAGTCTCTATACCAAAGACTGCTCAATGAAAGTCCATCAAACTTTCAGAATGTATACTTACTAACCATATCTGCTACCCTATAAAGTTTCACTAATCTACTCGCCGTAGTTTAATTGTAAGCCATAATTGAAAAGTGGCCTAAAAATGATGATTTTTGTCTTTTTTCGGTCTTAAAATTGTGGCAGTGGGGTTTGGAGGGGTTACCCATCATACATAAAAAAATGGTGAAAATCGGTCACTCACCATGTGCCGGTCCCTGCATGGTTTTCTCGCAAACGCATTCTTTAAAGGTCCTGATCAATGTCCATGTTTTGTCAGTAAAAATATTAACCTCTTCAAGGATATAGAACTAAAAACAAAATGACTGAAAGTAAGTTATGACATCAAAGGAATGATTAGGTTTTAATAGTACTTCTATGCTTATTAAGCCTAGTGCTGAATGGAATTATGGTTTGGACTACATATTGCATTTTACAGATTCTACATGTTAAACAGTAAATGACATAACTAGCACACAGTTGACAAGAGTCTCTCATTTTAAATGATTTCATGTCTTTACTGGTTATTTCTTGAATTGTACAAATTCTAATGTAGTTTGAATGTTTTTTAAAGAGAGAGAGAACTGGGGTTTAACCTCCACTTGCCACAATGTCATTTTGGGAATAACAAGATTCGATTTTATTTTAATAATTCACTTGCGCGTAGGTGCACTGAGCAGTGGTAGGAAACCCACATGTTTGGAGAAGTGACCATACTCACATCGAAACCAATTCCTGGATCGAAACCATACCACTTGTCTCAGTGACGGACCGTATGATATAAAGCGCACACATTCAGCCCCTCAACCCCTTAATTCGGTTTGACGCTTTAAATTAGTTAAATCCAGGAAGTTTAAAAATCATTCAATCATGCATAATTTTCGTTACTTGTAAAGTTCATTTCAACATTTTTATACGTCCAAATTCATAATGTGGACATATATTACCTTTGCCCCTGTCTGTGAATTGCCTACAGGCCGCAATTCTTAACTTTGCACACTTATTGTCCCATGCCTTTCAAACAAAGCAGGAGACTTTTAAAATGGGTTCGTCAGTCTGTCTGTCCGTCCGTCTGTCCGTCACACTTTTTGCGACACAATAACTGCCCTTCTAATTGAGCTAGAATGTTCAAACAAGGTGTAGGTGTTTATTAGGTCAAGGCCTTGATGGAGTTTGATTATAAACATGGTATGCTTACGGTAAGCAGAGATAAGCAATCTGATTGGTTGATGCTTTAGGACACGATAACTTTAATTATAATTGAGAGTGATGAAACTCCGAGAATTTTCTGCTTGGGCTAAGGAGCGATAAGGAATTTGATTAGTCAAGACTTTGGAACATAACAACTCTGCTTTTAATTGAGGTAGAATGTTTAAACTTGATGTAGATGTTCATTAAATTTTTATCCGATCTCAATAAAACTTGAAATATAGGTTTATCACACCAAGATCTTGGTTCCTTTCGATATTGGCATGTAACTTCTTGGATTATGGTCCTTGATTGTACGAAAAATCACGTTTTTAGCTTGTGAACACAATTTTTATCCGATTTGGTTTAAACTTGAAATGTGTGTTTATAACCCACAGATCTCGGTTCCTTTTGATATTCGCGCCTATCTGATCATAACTTCCTGAATTATGGCCCCTGATTGTACGAAAAATCGCGTTTTTAGCTTGTGGACCCTATAGCGGTCATAATTTTTATCCGATTTAAAAAACTGTATTATTATTTCACCGTTACACCCTAAGGACGGCTGAGTTCGAATTTCGTGAAAATCGGTCCAAAACTAACAGACAAAATGGCCGTCCTTCGTTCTCAAATAGCGTAAAAATATGGTATATCAAGGTTGTGGACCCTATAGAGGTCACAATTTTGATCCGATTTTGTTGAAACTTGAAATGTAAGTTTATAACCCAAAGATCTTGGTTCCTTTCGATATTCGTGCAAATCGGACCGTAACTTCCTGAATGATGGACCCTGATTGTAAGAAAAATTGCGCTTGTGGACCCTATAGAGGTCATAATTTTTATCCGATTTAAAAAATCGTTTTAATATATCACCGTTACACCCTAAGTACGTCTGAGTTCGAATTTCGTGAAAATCGGCCCAAAACTGAAAGACAAAATGGCCGCCCCTCGTTCTCAAATAGCGTAAAAATATGGTATATCAAGGTTGTGGACCCTATAGAGGTCACAATTTTTATCCGATTTTGTTGAAACTTGAAATGTAAGTTTATAACCGAAAGATCTCAGTTCCTTTCGATATTCGCGCATATCGGACAATAACTTTCTAAATTATGGCCCCTGATTGTATGCAAAATCGCGTTTTTAGCTTGTGGACCCTATAGAGATCATAATTTTTATCTGATTTGAAAAACCAAATTTTTTTATCACCGTTACACCCTAAGGACGACTGAGTTTGAATTTTGTGAAAATCGGCCCAAAACTGACAGATAAAATGGACGCCCTTCGTTATCAAATAGTGTAAAAAAATATGGTATATCAAGGTTGTGGACCCAATAGAGGTCACAATTTTTGAAATGTAAGTTAATAACCCAAAGATCTTGGTTCCTTTCGATATTTGGCATATCAGATAGTAACTTCCTGAATTATGGCCATTGATTGTACGAAAAATCGTGTTTTTAGCTTGTGGTCTTTGTAGAGGTCACAATTTTTATCTGATTTAAAAAAAAATGTGTGAATATATCACCATTACACACTAAGATCATGGATTGTTTTGATAATCGCAGATACCCAAACTTAACTTCCTGAATTATGGCCCCTGATTCTCTAGAGGTCACAATTTTTTTTCGATTTTAAAAACCGTTTAAATATTTCACCATTCCACCATAATGAAGGTTGAATTCTAATTTCGGGAAAATCGAAATGAAACTGCCCAACAAAATGGCCGCTCTTTGTACGCAAATTGTGTAAAAGTATGCAATACGAATGGTTGTCGGGCCGTTTAGAGGTCACAATTTTTGTCCGATTCTGAAGAAAACTTAAATCATATCTTTATATCCCAAAGATCTCAGTCCCTTTTGATATCTGCTCATTTAAGACCATAACTAACTGGATTATTGCCCCTGATTGTACAAAAAATCCTGTTTCTTTGTACCTTGTTCTCTATCCATCTCTTGCAAATTGTGGGCGTATCCTGCCTGGCAGCCGCTGGTTGTATTTGTTTGTCATCTCCAGGCCACATTGATTTACGAATCATCTTGCAACTCTGCATACTTATTCCTTATACCCAAAGGATGATCCCTATTGTTTTTGGTGCATGCACAACCCCCAGGGGTAGAGCCATGCACAGTTTTTATACGCCCACATGGAAATGTGGTCGTATATTGCCGTCGCGTCCGTCCATGGTCCACAATTTCTTGTCAACACTCTACAGACTACATTTATCATCTGGTTGATTTGAAATTGATGTATGTTGTTTGCTTTGGTGAGATGAAGAAGCCTATTTAATTTCAATAACTTCCGTTAATTTCTTCTGGAGTTATGTCGTGAGTTATGGCCCTTCTTTCACGTTGTTGTACCTTGTAAATGCTCTAACGACAAAAGTTATTATCTGATCTGTATGAAATTTATATGTATCATTTAAATTAGTAAAACAAACAAGCCTATTGAGTTTCAGCAAATTTCCGATAATTACATCTAGAGTTATGGCCCTTCTTTAACTTTGTTGAATCTTGTGAACGCTTGAACAACAAAAATTATCACCTAATCTGTATGAAATTCATATGCACCATTAAATTAGTGAAATGAAGAAGCCTATTGAATGTCAGCAATTTCCGTCAATTACGTCTAGAGTTATGGCCCTTTATTTACTTTGTTGAACATTGTGAACGTTCGAACGAAAAAAGTTATCATCCGATCTGTATATGCATTATTTGATTTAGTAAAACGAAAAAGCCTGTTGAATTTGAACAATTTCTGTAGATTACTTCCAGAGTTACGGCCCTTGTTTTAGTTTTTAGAACCTTGTGAACCCTCAAACGACGAAAATTATAATGTCATCTGTATGAAATTGTCTATTAAATTCCCCTAATTACCTACAAAAGATAAATATGTGACATCCCTTGGCGACCGCCCGGACGATTTAGCTGCTGTGGGCGTATGTTTTGTTGCCTGGCAACCTATCTTTGTATTTGTTTGCTTTGTCATCTAAAGGCCGCATTAATTTACAGACCATCTTGCAACTTTGCATACTTATTCCTTATACTCCAAGGATCATACCTATTGTTTTTGGTGCATGCCCAACCCCCAGGGGCCGAGCCACGCTCATTTTCTCTTTCTTTAATGGATCGTCTTGGAAACCTTTCATACTTATTCTTTATAGCCTATGACCTCATTTATTTTTGGTGCATGCCTGGGAAAGAGTCGCGCCCAATTTTTGTTTGTGTGTGTCGCCTACAGGCCGCAATTCTTAACAGATTATTTTTGAAACTTTGCTTAACTATTCCTTATACCCTAAGGATGATCCCTATTGTTTTTGATGACTGCCCGATTCCCAGGGGCAGAGCCACACCCATTTTTATACGCCTACACTGAAATATGGTCGTATATTGTTGTCGCCCTCGTCCCTCTGGTGGTCTGGCATCCACAAGCTCTAGAGGCTCTTGATCACTTTGAAAAAATCTTGTGGACGCTCTAGAGGCTAAAGATAATATCCGATTGACTGTAAATTTATACACAGTGTTTAAGGTCATGAGACAAAGAAGCCTATTGATATTCAGCGATTTCAGATAATTACTGCCAGAGTTACTGCCCTTGATCACTTTGAAAAATCTTGTGGATGCTCTAGAGGCAAATGTTAATATTTGATTGACTGTAAATTTATACACAGTGTTTAAGGTCATGAGACGAAGAAGCCTATTGATTTTCAGCGATTCCCGATAATTACTACCAGGGTTATGGCCCTTGATCACTTCAAAAAATCTTGTGGACGCTCTAGAGGCTAAAGTTAATATCCAATTTACTTTAAATTTATACACAGTGTTTAAGGTCATGAGACGAAGAAATCTATTGATTTTCAGCGATTTCCAATAATTACTACAAGAGTTATGGCCCTTGATCACTTCAAAAAAACTTGTGGACGCTCTAGAGGCCAAAGTTAATATCCGATTGACTTTAAATTTATACATAGTGTTTAAGGTGATGAGACAAAGAAGCCTATTGATTTTCAGCGATTTCAAATAATTACTGCCAGAGTTACTGCCCTTGATCACTTTGAATAATCTTGTGGACGCTCTAGAGGCAAAAGTTAATATCTGATTGACTTTAAATTTATACACAGTGTTTAAAGTCATGGGATGAAGAAATCTATTCATTTTCAGCAATTTTCGATAATTACTGCCAGAGTTATGGCCCTTGATCACTTCAAAAAATCTTGTGGACGCGCTAGAGGCCAAAGTTAATATCCGATTGACTTTAAATTGATAGTCATTGATACACAGTGTTTACGGTCATGAGACAAAGAATCCTATTGATTTTCAACTATTTCAGTTATGGCCCTTGATCACTTTGAAAAATCTTGTGATTCGCTAGAGGCTTAAGTTATCATTAGATTGACTTCAGATTGATACACAGAGTTTAAGATCTTCAGACGAACAAGTATATTGATTTTCAATGACTTGAACAGCTAATATCCGATTGACTTTAAATTTATACACAGTGTTTACAGTCATGAGATGAAGAATCCTATTGAATTTCAACGATTTCCGATAATTACTGCCAAAGTTATGGCCCTTGATCACTTTGAAAAATCTTGCAACGCTCTAGAGGCTAAAGTTATCATCTGTTGACTTGAACAGCTAAATCCATGACATTAAAAGTTTCGTATACTATACGTTATCATGGGGCAAAACTTTATAAAAACCAAACAAATTCTAATGGTTTTCTGATAATTACTTAATGAGTTGTTAGTGTATTATAAATGCTTCATTACTGAAGAAAGTAAAAATATGCGACATTCAGGCTTTTCTTATTTTAAAATATTTCTTTGTAACTTTCATAATCTTTTAGCATTAATCCATACGAAGAAAATGTAAGTAAAAATTATTGTGTAACATGGGCAGTTGCTAAGAAATAGTCAATTTTGCATGAGTCACTTTTTATGTTATTTTTCCTGTAGATGCCTCAATTGTTATTGGATTTTCATAAAATTGACACCATTTGATGTCTAATGTCACTTTTGTCTAGGTCAAACCTATTTAACATTTTAACTGTAACTGTATTTTTAGCCTTTAAAACAAATATTTTATTCAACTGAGTAGTATTTGTTAGTATTTGTTAATTGTTTATAATTAAGATATTTGATTCCAATCAAGAAGTAGACGATTTTCTACAAGTCACTTTTCAAGGTTTGGTACATAAAAGTGTCAATTATTATTTGATTTTTATAAAAGTTACACCATGTGATGCCTTATGCCATTTATGATTTCATAAATCTAATTTAACATTTTCATTATCACCGAAAGTAATGTCATTTTGGCAAAAAATCTATTTTTAGCCTTCAAAACAAATATTTTGCAATGGACATATAGATAGGATCAATAGGATCATATAGATGTTAAAAAATTGCTACTAGCATCTTCCATTGCCGAGAAATAACCAATAACCACGCTCCATGGTGCAGATTCTCAACTTTTTTTCTCCCGGTAAAGTTTTCTGCCGGCACCGTAAGTGGCGTAATTTTGCCAAAAACTTCAACCTTGTTTCACTTTGTTGCACCTTTCACTTTAATGACAAAAGTTATCAGATCTGTATTAAATTTATTTGCATTATTTAAATTAGTGAAACAAAGAAATTAAGCCTATTGAATTTTAGCAATTTCCGTTAATTATACCTAGAGTTATGGCTCTTGTTTCACTTTGTTACACCTTGTAAATGCTCTAACATCAAAAGTTATCGGCTGATCTGTATGAAATTTATATGCAATATTTGAATTAGTGAAACAAAGAAGCCTAGTGAATTTCAGCAGTTTCCCTTAATTACTTCTAGAGTTATGGCCCTTGTTTCACTTTGTTGCACCCTGTGAATGCTCTAACAAGGAAAGTTATCATCCAATATGTATGAAATTTGTATGCATCATTTAGATTAGTGAATGAATAAGCCTATTGAATTTCAGCAATTTCTGTTAATTACTTCTCGAGTTATGGCCTTTGTTTCATTTTGTTGAACCTTGTGAACATTTGAATGTCAAAATTTATCATTTAAATTAGTGAAATAAGGAAGCCCATTGAATTTCAGCAATTTAAGTTAATTACTTCTAGAGTTATGACCCTGGTTTCCCTTTGTTGCACCTTGTGAACGCGCTAATATCAAAATCTGTACGAAATTTATATGCGTCCTTTAAATTAGTAAATAGAAGAATCCTATTGAATTTGAGCAATTTCGGGTCATTATGTCTGGAGTTATGGCCCTTGTTTCACTTTGTAGATCCTTGTGAACCCTCAAACGAAGAAAATTATAATATGATCTATATAAAATTGTTTTGTAAATGCCTACAAAAGAATAAATATGCGACAACCTTTGTCGACCGCTTGGACAATTTAGCTGCTGTGGGTGGGTGTATGTTTCCTTGCCTGGCAACCTATCTTTTGTTAATATTAGTCTGTAAATTTAGCAAAACAAACCCAACTCCTAACCTTTTTTGCCTCTTGTCATATTACAGTTATTGCAGCCATTTCATATTTCACTCTCTTCATTTTAAAAAGTACCATATCAATCAAACCAGGAATGTGGACGTATATTTGTACGGTACTGATGCTCTATTACGGTTATGATATAAGCTAATCTTTCACATTATGTATCTAAGTCCATGACACCATCATTCCTATGGTGTCATAACTGACTTCCAGTCATTTTTTTACGCCAACATTCGAGACATCACCCTGTCCGTCGGCCTGTCAACAATTTGCTTGTGAACGTGATAGAAGCTGGGTTTTTTTTTGACAGATTCTTGTCAAATTTGTTGTGAATCATTGTGGTCATGAGAGGATAAAACCTGTTGATTTTCAGTGTTCAATGACTTTTCATTCCAGAGTTTTGACCCTTTTTTTGAAAACCCTGTGAATGCAATAGAGGCTATAGCTTTCAACAGATTTTCTTCAAAGTTGTTGTGGTCATGAAAGGACAAAATCTCTCAATTATTAGCGTTCTGTGACTTTCCATTCTGGAGTTATTCCCCCTTTGGCAAAAACCTTGTGAACACTATAGCGGCTGTGGTTTTTGATAGATTATTTACAAATTTGGTGTGAATCAAATCCAAATTCATTAAATTTTAAAAATTTACTGTTGGAAACGCGTTTTGCGAGCATTTCAAAAAAGAAACTGCAGAAAGGCAATTCCCCCTCAGTATTTCAGAAGAAGAATCTGCAGAAAGGCAATTCCCCTTCTTCACAGACATTGAAACTCAAAATTAGTCACGACCTCATGGCAACTGGATGACTGTTGAAAGCATCAAGTGACCCCATATTTGGGAACCCCAGACATAAAGATTAGATTTCTTGAAGCAATCCTTATCAAATGTGGTGAATAACAATAGCTTCAGTCTATGGCTATTGTTTTATGGAACCAAAGCTGCTGCATGGATGCATTTACACCCCTTTGGGTGGTTATGTTTTTTTTTACCAATAATACCAATATTGAAGATGTAAATATTAAAATTATATTTGCCTGTTGAAATAACTAAAAATAGTGATTTGTTAATATGGGTACTATCGGTTTTAACAATATCAGATACTGACAGACACAATTACTGATAGTGACGTAGATGAAAATATTGCCCATTAAAGTGCTTTGAATGTCATGATAATTAATGTAAATACATGTCATTGTTAGTCTGGAAATGCACGGTATTATTTTAACGTGGAATCCAAAACAAACATGATGTTATTGGGTGGTCACATTTGTCTATTGAACTGAATTATTTGTTGTAAGATTAATTAATAAAGTATGATCATGATTATGAGTTATTAAACTTTTATTACAAAATAAATCCCTAAATTTATCGGCACCAGCTGTTGACCATTTGATATCAGAATAGCCGGTCAAATATTGATGCGAAACCGCAAGCTAACCAAATCAGACGTGTGACATCATCCCTGCTATACATTCATTGTTTTAACAACTGCAATGATCGTCTAGGTATGAATGGTGTTGATAGTGTTGCATCTCTCAAATCATGGACTACATGTTTGTTGCAATTGTGGATGTAAATATTTGATCCTAAAGATCTTGGTTCCTAAAGATCTTGAACCATAATATCCTGAATGTACAAAAATCGCTTTTATACGCCCACATTGAAATGTGGTTGTCACCCCCCCGTCCATTTGTCCAGGTTAAAGTTAATATCTGACTGAGTTCAATGATTTTGTGCAAATACGGTATAGTTTTTTTATACGCCCACATTTTCATGTGGACGTATATTGTCGTCGCCCCTGTCTGTCCAGACGTCCGTCCACAATTTGTTTGTGGACATTCTACAGGTCACAATTCTTATCCGAATTTGATGAAACTTGAAATATAGGTTTATCTCCAAAAGATCTCGATTGCATTAGATATTGGCATGTATCGGATCGAAACTTCATGGATTATGGCCCCTGTTTGTAAGAAAAATCACATTTTTAGCTTGTGGACCCTATAAAGGTCACAATTTTAATCCTATTTTGATGAATCTTGAAATGTAAGTTTATAACCAAAAGATCTCGATTCCTTTCGATATTCGCGCATATCGGACCATAACTTCCTGATTTATGGCCCCTGATTGTACGAAAAAATCGTGTTTTTAGATTGTGGACCCTATAGAGGTCATAATTTTTATCCGATTTAAAAAAACATATCATTATATCACTGCTACACCCTAAGGACGGCTGAGTTCGAAAATCGACCCAAAACTGACAGACAAATGGCCGCCCTTCGTTCTCAAATAGCGTAAAAATATGGTATATCAAAATTGTGGACCCTATAGAGGTCACAATTTTCTTCTGATTATGATGAAACTTGAAATGTAAGTTTATAACCCAAAGATCTTGGTTCCTTTCGATATTTGCGCATATCGGATCGTGACTTCCTGAATTATGGCACCTGATTGTACGAAAAATCGCTTGTTCTCTATCCATCTCTTGCAAAATGTGGGCGTATCCTGCCTGGCAGCCGCTGGTTACCTAATTTAGTAAATTTCGGTAAAATTCTAATTATCACCACAAATCTAGGGAGACTACAAGGAGATATCAGATTTCACAAATTGCAATGGTAATGGTACCATTCCATCTTATTCCGCCATTTCACCATCTAAATTTATGTATTTATTGTGGTATAACAAGATCAGCATTTACATGTATCAAATATATAAGCTTGCTGGTAGTCGAATGGACCGTATAATTATATTAGGTAGCCCTAAATGTTCCAATTTCTTGCTTTAAACACGCCACTGAACCAGAATTAAGAAATTATTAGTTGTTTAAATTTAAGATGACCACAGTTGGATTAAGCAGAATATTGAAGTAAGAGGGGGTTACGGTTAGACGGGCTCGGCATCTAAACACTAAACTACATAGAGAAGATATACCAAATCAGCAGGATAGTGGAGTTAGGGAGGGTCACATTCAGATGGACACGGCATCTAAACACTAAACCGACACCAAACCTGCAGAGTGGGATAGTGGAGTAAGGGGAGACCACGATAAGACGGGCCTGGCACCTAAATACTAATCCCACAAAGACGATAACTACCAATCCAGAAAAGAAATCGACTACCAAACATTACGTTTTGTTTTTTGTATTTAATAAAAGGATGAACATCCAACTAAACCTACTCCATGGCCTGAGGCCGCAAATGGAAAGATTGCAAAATCATATTCTAAAACGGGAAGAAGCTTTGGCTCTCCTATATATGCCTTGTCTGCGATATCATTTCTGTGGAAGCGGACGTTAAAACACCAGGTAGTAGTAGTAGTATTTTTTAAAGGTGAAAGATTTACACGAGAAATGAGGAGAAAGCATAAGGATTTTATCAAACGGAAACGCCAGGTTAGCGTTCCAAAATATTGAGGACGCCCAATTGGCAACCACCAAAGAGGGTTATAATTTATAACATACCCTCAGACTATACTGACGAGGAAATCCTCAATAACTTAAACCTAGGGGATACAATCCCCCTAGCCATCTATCAATACCCTGTCAGACAGGGAAAAAAAATCAGAACCGTGCAGGTCACTTTTAAAAAAAATGACACCCCACAGGGCATAATATATATGCTTTATGAAAGGAGGCCGTTACACCCCTACATTCCAAAGGTAAAAAGATGCACTAAATGCCAGAGAATAGGGCATATTGAAATATTCTGCAGAAGCCAAGCCATCTGCGGCAAATGTGGGAACACCCACAAAACGGAAGAGTGCAGAGCCACTCAACCCAAATGCGTGAACGTGCGTGAACTGCAAGGGGTATTATTGGGAGGATTCACCAAAATGTCCAAAATATATTAACACAAAAACCATGCAATACACGCATGGAATATCATACAATGAAGCGACAGCACACCCACATAACAATATGATGTTAATTTTACGTTACATTTACGTAAAAATGGTCAGTCAGTTTACCATCATTTTGCTCATCTTTTTAACGATAATTTTACGTCAGGAAATGACGTTAATCTAACGTAAACTTTACGTCATTTTTACGTTATATTTACGTCATTTTCTGACGTAAATCTAACGTAAACTTTACGTCATTTTCTGACGTAAATCTAACGTAAAATTTGCGTAAAGTTTACGTCATTTTCGTTAGATTTACGTCAGAAAATGACGTAAACTTTACGTTAGATTTACGTCAGAAAATGATGTAAATATAACGTAAAAATGACGTAAACTTTACGCTAGATTAACGTCATTTCCTGACGTTAAATTGTCGTTAAAAGGATGAGCAAAATGATGGATATCTAACCGATCATTATACCGTAAATCTAACATTAAATTAACATCATTTACGGATGCAATTCTAAAGTCAAATTTTGATGAGCATTAAAACCTTCAAAATTATTCATTATTTGCGGCAGTAAATGGGAAGTACATTCAACCAATAATCAAATTTTCCTGACCCGTGGGTGAGGCTAAAAGTTGAGTGGTCCAACGTGTGCGCTTTAGATCATAAGGTCTGTCATTGAGTCAAGTGGTTTGTTTCCACACCCAACTTGAACATGGGTTTTCTCTGGGTCCTCCTACTACTAAAGATTCCTGGTGCGGATGAATTATTCAACTTGAATTGAATCACTTAGTCCCAAAGGACAGTTTATGTCTATTGGATGTTTTACCCCATTGCTCTCTATCTACCCATAACCAGTCAGAATTCTAAATGTATTGCACAGAAAAGTTAAAAATCTAGCAGAATTATATGACAAAATATACTACAAGTATGTATACATATACTTTATTTAAAAGACAAAAATATAATGTTATAAAATACAAAATACACATTTAAATATTAACAGTTTTTATCCACAGCTGTTTGAGAAATGAAGACGGGCATATGCCACACAGTGTGCAGAGCTATGGCGTACTCTTATATAAAATTCCAACTGCCAAGGGATCTTTCACACACACACACACTTGAGTTTACACTGTACCTTGGTTTTTTTTGTCCCTTCCGTATGACTAGTCAGCCATCCATGTCAGGTCCTCTGTCCGGCATCACTGACACGGGAAAATGTTCAAGAAAAAGGTCTACATTAGCGCTATGAAAGTGTTGATATGCATATAAGAAAGAAAAAACTGGGATATTGACCAAATTGGGCCAAAACCTATAGCCTCTATCTTATTTGCTCAAGGTATTGATGGAATAGAAGTTAACTTTGGAATGAGTGAAATGAAATGGGTTTAATGTCCTATTCCGACAGGGCTAATGACATGGAAATATGCTATACAGTGTCCTATTATGGAATTTTATCCAGACAGCGACGCTAAAGCCTACTCTTATATCGAATTCAAACTGCCAAGGGATCTTTCACGTGCACACCAATGTGTGCACAGGACCTCGATCATTCGTACCATCCAAACGACTAGACTAGGGAGAATTAACCAAGGAAAGCAAAGTCCTGAAAAGCTGTATATTGATAATGCTTGTCCTCTCACAATCGGAATGATTCACATTTCACACCCAGTGTACGGACAAACAGGGCCAAAATTGATATGTGGGTGTATAAACAAAGATATATACTACAGCAATATTACATGTGTTGCAGAATTGGTTTAACACATTTCAAATATAATTGTAACACGGATATTTGCAATGGTTGATCCATGACAAAAGATTTGAAATATTTTGAAGGGACGCAAAAGGTTACGCCATACAGTGTGCTATGAGGGAAATTTTGCCCGGGCAGCAGCGCTATGGCCTACTCTTGTATCGAATTCCAACTGCCAGGGGATCTTTTATGTGCACACCAATGTGTACACTGGACCTTGGTTTTTTTTTTGTCCCATCCAAACGACTAGACAGCTGTCCTCGTCAGGCCCTCCATCCTGCATCACTGACAATGGGAAACCACACCGGAAAATCAGGATGAACTTTCTCGGCCAATGCAGGGATCGAACACCCGACCTCAAGGCTAGCGAGTCAGCGTCTTACCCACTTAGCCACATGATCCCCCCTTGGCCTCTGTACATGTAGAGATGAATTTTGAGCTACCTTTATATATATATTTCTATTTTTAAAACCCGCGACAAGTATATTTATATCAAGGATGTAACCCTCTATCAGTTAACCCGTCACGGATTGGTTGCATTGGTGAACCGGTTCAAAATATTCGTTTCATATCATACCTGACCTTCAAATCCAGGAATTGTAGCCACAACGGGGATCACGTTGGTTAAGTCGGTAAGACACTGGCTATCTAGTCTGGAGGTCGGGTGTTCGATCCCTGCATTGGCCGAGAAAGTTACTCCAGATTTTCGGGCGTGGTTC